CTCTCTCTCTCTCTCTCTCTCTCTCTCTCTCTCTCTCTCTCTCTCTCTGTGTGTGTGTGTGTGTGTGTACGCGCGCGCGCGCACGCGAGCGTGCCTGGCACGGGTCACGGCGGACGCGTCCAGCCCAGCCTAGGCGCCACGGGGGTCGCGCGCTGCCGCAGTGCGGCACGGTCAGTGGCGGTTACGAAACTTGCCGAAACGTGACACAGTGTGACAATGCGCTACGAGTGGCGAGTATGTCTGTGTCTGTGCGTGTCGCGGGAGGAGGGGTGATGTGACGCCATCACACAAGTCTGACAGGCTTCATCAGAGGATGGAGTCAATGGGATCGGATATCGAATATCGAATGATGCTGAGAGGACGAATCTCTCCCGGAGTTTGGCGGCGTGAAGCGGGTCGAGGCGATAGTGAACTCTCGCCTGTCCTGAGCGACGAGACCCGAAACTCGAACGATCAACGACCGGAGCGTCGGAAGGAAAAACAAAGCCAGAGACAGTCGCCCCGCCGCGGTCGCCGCCGGAGCCACACGGCCGGGTGGGCCGGGACGGGGCGAAGACGCCCCAAGCCCATAAAATCACCGGGTTTAAACTCGTCGGACGAAAATTTACTGATGTTGTTGCACATGTTGTTCTGCTCGATGACGTATAAGGTGGTGGTGGTGATGATCGAAAGTGAAACTTCTCTCTCGGGACGGCGACGGACGTGAACTCTCCGTTTTATTGCGATATAGCGACAGCAACGACACTACTGTTCGCTGCGCCTCACTCCGATCAACTTTGCCCGGCTCCATAACGCTGCTTTTTTGCACGTCCATACACACACGCACACACACACACACACACACACCACGTGTCTATACTCCAACGATGCGGGAGCTATAGCATGTGAGGTAACAGAAAAAAACACATATCTATACGACGGCGGCTCCAGAAAGAATTCGTACGCGTGATAGTCATGTCATTACATGAGTCGTCTCTCGCCTTCGCCGCCAATGACATTTTTTCCACTCCGCAACTCGGAGAGCAGCGACTGCGGAGCGAAAAGAAAGTGCGCCCGCGGGAGCCCGCGCCGGAGGTATTTGAACCTCGGGCAATGAGATTGGAAACGGCCGGCTCGTCGACACCTTATCTCGCCAGCACCTTCCAGTTCGAGTGTCCGTGATTAATGCGAGAGGCTGGGGGGCGCAGGGGGCCAACACCCTCCCGACCTTCACTCACCTCATGTCTGCCCGTTAAGGTGCCGGTGCGGGAGACGACGGGGACCCCTCCGCCGGGCTGGTCGGGGGCGGCGGCGAGCTGCCGTCGCGGAGGTGGCTCCGGAGCGAAGCAGGGCCTCGACGTCCACCTCGAGCAGGAGGCTTCAGGTCCGAGCGGGCCGCAGGAGGCCGTCCTCTGCGCGCACCGACGTCCACGAGCCTGTCGCCGCCGGTCGCATATCACTCGCGTTCTCTCCCGGTCGTCGCGCACCTCAGGCCTCGCTGGCGCGCCTGCTGTCGTCCGCGTCGTGTGGGCCCGCGCGCTCGCCGCAGACTGCACTCAGCTGGGCACGCCGTCAGGCACGCCGAGGCGGTGGGGCTCGCGCGCGCGAGGTTGTGGCGGGGCGGGGCGGGGCGG